ATGGAGGATGCGCAATGCGCTCTTGACAGACTAGCAAGTTCTGTATCTCCTTTCGGCATGCACTTTGCACTTTCAAAGTGCAAAGTGATGCTACAAGACTGGGTGTCGTCTACCCCAGCACTGATGTTTAATGGTCAAGAACTAGCTGTAGTGGAATATTTCACTTAGGTAGCTGCGTTTCAAATGACGGTAGCATAGTCAATGAAGTAATCGCCCGCATTTCCAAGGCTCGAGCAGCTTACGCAGGATTGAAACACCTTTGGTGCAGACGCGATGGTTTAAACTGAAAGGTCGTTTATACTGCGCCAGGGTCTGGCCAGTTNTTTCACTTAGGTAGCTGCGTTTCAAATGACGGTAGCATAGTCAATGAAGTAACCGCCCGCATTTCCAAGGCTCGAGCAGCTTACGCAGGATTGAAACACCTTTGGTGCAGACGCGATGTTTGAAACTGAAAGGTCGTGTATACTGCGCCAGTGTGCGGCCTCTTCTGCTCTATGGTTGCGAGACCCTAAATTTGCGCGTGGAATATATTCGCCGTCTTGAAGTATTCGACTGCAGATGTTTACGTTGTTTGGCTCGGGTTGGATGGAGCGAGCTTGTAAGCAACTCTGAGGTGAGGCGTCGCGTATTTGTAATGATTCGATGGAGAATTCATTGTCCCATTGAATTCAGATTAGTCGGCTTCGCTGATTAGGACACGTATTGCACATGCCCAGCCATCGTCCGCCGCACCGCGCCTTTTTCACAGTTACGGCTCCAGGTTGGAAGAAACCGCGTGGTGGTCAACAGATGATGCATGAAGAAATGCACAGAGCGATTAGGTAGAGTCGGTGTCTCCCGTCTTCCAGGTTGGGGTCCGAAAGACTCTACAGCTGGTTGGCTGGAGACATTAAAGGATATGGCGACTGACCGACAGCAGTCGCACTCTTGTTGTCATTTCTTAATAAGCCAGAATGCTTGAAAAGGTATGCATGAACAATTAGATTGTGTACTCTGTGTGTTGAACATAGAGGTTGTTTTTCTTTGCCTCCCTCTAATTAGGCCCAATCCCTCTCCATCTTGTGCTTTATCACTTGATCTGTGTATATTGTGAGCTTGGCAGCGATCTCGCTGTATCTCGCTGTACAACGATGATTTATAAACACGACTTATTTGATCTTTTTCTGATTTTAGCGCTTAGTCTCCAACGAGCGTAAAACACTTTCTTCAACCCAGTTTAAGCTTCCAGGAAGTTCGAGACGGTAACCGCCGAGCGAAATGTCGAGAGGAGATGTTGCAAGCGCCCAATCGAACCACAATGAAAAACCGATATAAAATTATGGAGAATGCTGGCCACCTGAGTTTTAGAATTATTTTCCCGTTCAGCTGTGCTTCATATTATCCCATGCCTAACGTTCACGAAAAGCACTGTCGAGAACAAAACTTATAAAAATTTAATTTGACTACAGGACATTCAGACGAACTTTCAATACACCATAGTTTTGTGATATTTAATTGCTCCGAACGAAACGACTTTCCAGGAGGCCCAGTAATGGGACTGAAATCTCAAAAGTTTGAATATTCCCACGATAGCATCTGTGTCCTCAAGAAAGAACTATTCCATTTAGAGGCTTCACAGAATGCCTAATACAGTCACAGATGGTTGTAAATTCCACTTTCCCCGCTTCTAAACTTGGATCATTGTTCTCTACATCACCGGTGATGCGAATGCAAGTGAAAGACAAACTACCAAACCTGACCTCATCCATATATATCTATATACATACATCTTCACTCACCATTGCTGGCAGTCTTCGGCCTCCACTTTGCACTTGGATGGTGCAAAGAACACCTCTATTCCCTAGCGGTCCAAAGTGTGTTGTCATCGACATACATTAAGTCGAGTACT